TTTAAAGAAGCCTGATCATGTTTTTTAGCAGTACTGTATGTAATCCATATTGCAATTATTCTTTTTAATCTAATTAATTTAAAGGCTTTAATGCTAACTGAATGTGTAATATTTCAAAATGGTGTTAGGACAAACTTCTGTTTGTTCCAAGACTTTTCATGAGCAGTAAAACCATATTCACCAGTTCACACCAATGACAGCTCGTTGAAGATATGACACATTTCTTTGCCTTAACAGATACATAATTATGTTTCAAAATACTGGGATGATGTTTTTTTTATTTTAAATTTATTTGCTGGTGAGTGAAGACAGTACAGTAAGAGTCACAACATTAATGACAATGTCTTTGACCGCCTGCTTAAAGACATCTGTCATTACAGTCCATAAAGAGTGGCTATTTAAAAGAAAGCAGTCAGCAGACAAAAAAGGACTCGTGCCAAAAGCTTCAGACAAGAGAAGGAAAAGACGGTTGAACAGACTATTGTAAGAATACAGGCTTGTAAAATTCCACAGTCCTGAATACACTGTAGTGCACAGACTGTACCCACAGTGTTGGAAGACACCGAAGTTATAACCTTTACTAAAGGGACACAGATGATTGATATGTTTCAAGATTCTATATGTTAATTAAATACAAATTAAGCTATTTATAGTGAATTCACTTAAAGCATGCCTCTAAGAGTTACAGTTCACAGACACATTTCATTAGAGTCTCAAAATATTGTCATTTTTAGCACACGCAAGCTACATTCTATAAAACAAGTTCAAAGTTTTGATATATGTAAAAAAGTAAATAGACATCCTTTAGAGCTTATCCAAAAGCATGTGGAGTGGACTCACAAAAACAATCAGAAACAAAACTCATAGACTTCCAGTTACTGAGAAAGTGCAGGATTTTTAAATGGTTTGGTTATTGCATTTTATTCTACATCCCTAGTCTGTGTGAGCTCCTCCACAACCCCTGTGACATAATGGGCACAGTTTGCAGCATGTTGTTACATCACTGCCTGCAACCACTGCAAGCTTGTGAGCAGACTCTCAGCTCAAGTGCGCTCTGCTTCTAACACCAACAAAGAGAAGACAGAAGTGGGTGAGCATCTTCTTTTCACTCATTTACTGCTAATAAATAAATATATATTACTGATAATAATTTGCTTAGTGACAATATACAATACAGAAACTTGACATTAAGTACAAGGAACAGGCAAGCAGTTATACGTGTATAGATCTGTTATGTAAAAACCTTGTTGGTGTATATTCCATATTTAAAGGAATAAGTGTAGATTGCAACTTACATTACCGATTTGAGAATTAAAAACATTATCGCAATATAGTGCAAGAGTTATTGAAGATGCAGCTGAGAGATAAGAGATCATGTCAAGTTTCCAGCATTGTCTAAATGTAATCAGGAACTGTACCTGTATGTCTTGAGCTGGCGTCAAAGGGCAGTTAGGGATTGTGCAATCCTGATGTCGGTGGATAGTTCAGTGGCAAGGGTGGAGAATGAATGGTCACTGGATTAGGTGAGCATAGAGGAGAGGCAGTTTTGTGGAAAAGGAATAGCGGAGAAAGCAAGAGGGGTTAAAGAGGGAGACAAAAGACTGCATGCAGGCAGAACCAGAGCGGCTGAGATAATGATACAGTAGGTGGGAATTGGGTTTTGTAAATAGGATGTATGTACAGTAGCAAGAGGGAACCAGTGAACAACAGCAACTGGAGTAACATAATAGTGAGAAAGAGTAAGGAAGAGAAGAGACAAGGTGAGCCATGAAATTCTGGATGCACTGGAGCATAGGGATGGTGTTGGAAGGATGATGAATGGTACAGTAGTTACAATTTTCAAGGTGGGAGAATCACAGAGCCTAGACTAGAAGCTGTATATAGAGGCTGGTAAAAATGCAGAGCTTTGTTGATAAAAGTGACTTAAATGACAAGGTCAAATAATACATACATATTCCAGTGTGTTAAACATAGTAAAGAATAAACATTTACTGGCATAAATGCTACTTTTTATTCCTTTGTTTTGAAGCTGTTGGCAGCATATCTTAACCTGAACTTTTTAGGTAACATAACTATTAACCATTAAGTCATTTCTTGCACATACTGTACAACATAGTCAAACATCATGCTGGACTTCCTTAATGGATTTCAGATAACATCTGTGCATGTTTGACCTACCAGCCCACTTACACCAAACAAAAACATTTATCAAACCCCTGATCACTAAATTCATGCTGAGATTTTTGTCTCAACAATACACTGCACAAACACAAGTCTCACCAATTTGTCACACATTTGTCACTGATGTAAAAGATGTTTATACCTTTGAATTTTAATAAGCCTTCAAACCTATAAAACACACTACAAACTTTGACAAGAACACTGTCTAGGTACTAGGAGAGGTATATTCTTTTGAACATGCAGATGTTTCTGAATAGAAAGACCTCAACTGTGTTTTATTAGCATTTTAGCCTTTCCTTGGACTTTACAGCTTTTGCTTTTGTGGAAATAATGTATACCATCTGATATTCTACATGTTTAACAAGCCAGTAAATTAGAAAATTATTTGTTTACGTTTTTCATGTAAAACAGCAGTAGTGTGTGTATCATTCATAAAATGTCTGAATTACTTAATCTTATCTTTAAGTTAAATAAAAAGTAAATTCTTAGTACTTTTGGCTAGTAAGAGTGTGTACTAGCTGAAAAACTGAAGCTTTCAATTTTTCACATTTCTTTCAATCAAACAGCCAAAAAGCAAATCCACAGTTCATATTATCATGCCAACAGTAAATGTAATGATGGTCAGTGTCATGCTTTGTGCCACGTTATATTTGCATGTTCTAAATTATATTGATCTTGCTTTTGAAAACAGTAAGATTGCAGTTTAATTTCTTTTAATTTAATAAATGTCACAGATTGTCTGAAAGCAATTTAAGTCGGAAATTCTGTGACTGCTGTATGTATCACACTGAAGAATCATCTGTGACAAATATTATTTTACATATTGCAAATGGAAAACACAAAGAAAATAAAAAAGAAATGCCTTCAGTAAAAGAACAATATTTACATCTATGTACAAATGCATGCTGTATATGCAAACGTCATATTTTTTATTCTTAATCTTCAACAAACCCTTTCCGTTCCCAGCATTACTAACCATGTGCAGAATAATCCAATACTGCATACATGAAGTAAAATGACCTTGTACAGCAAAACAAGAGTGGGATTCCTAATATAAACAATTTGTTTTAAACTAAAAAAACGTTAATGATATTAACCTATTTTTAATTTAAAAGTTCTTGCATTACTCAGTTTTAGAAAATAAAATACATTTGCTGTCTTGGTCAAAAATATCTGTACTTGTTTTTATAGTCTGCATAAAGACAATGTAGCATAATGTCCGAAATATTTATTATAGGTCTTAAACTGGCTTTACAATCACCCAACTCCACCCACAACACATCCCCACACACACTTTTCAGGAAGTACTAAAGGTGTGAAAATTGCACCAAATTGAAAAAAAATCTTTCTGATGTGGGCCCTTCTGGTTCTGTCCTGGAATAATTGGGATTGTACTGCTACGTAAATATTTTAGGTCATTAGAAAGAATCAAGTGGAATTTTCCCCTTTACCATACAACACTGTCTACCAATTCACAACTCAATCTGTTCTTAATTTAACCAGGAAAAAAATGTTCCACATGGGAATGATTCCCAGGTACAACATTATGAGAAAAACACAACTTTTCACTTGCACGTAAGGCTTCATATCATTATTTTCAAAAAGATTAAACTTATTCACAGTAAACAGCGGAATGCTCAATTCCTATGGATCTCTGTTCTTGAAAAAATCAAAAGACTAACTGCAAAATTCCCTTTTGGTGGATAATTGAACCAGAATGTGTTGGGTTTATCAAGTATTTTTAAGACAAATTTCAGTAATTACAAAGACAACACTGCTGTTAGACTAGAATCTGATTAACACTAACAAGTGATTTGCTGCTTTACGTGAATTAAAAACAATTACATTACTTTTATTTTTCGTTATGCCCAACTGGACACAATGTATTGATTAAAACGCAAAAAAAAATCCTCAAATGAAACTATCTTTACTGCAAGGCAAAACTCCAAAAGTACTTCTTTTCATTTATATAAAAGACCACACAAGCACTGCACTGAATCCATACTTAAAAGACAAAACAGAAAGGATGCCTTGCCTGATCTGATAAAGACTTAACTGCTTTGAACCTTGCTTTTACCATAAAAATTAGGAACAAGTTTTCTTCTCAAATCTTCTTTAATATTACATTTTCCAAGGGAGGTAAATATATATATATATTTATTTTATGGAGAACAGCTTGGTTTGATAAAAGTCTGTAGCTAAAACAAAATGCTTTCAAGGAGCAATTAAACTAATGTTTGTCATTGTTGCTTAATTCTTCAAAGAGTATGGGACATTTGTCTCTGGAGAACAATAGCAATAAAATGACCATTAAGGTAGGTGTTTGAAGAATGAATGTCCAAAACGTTCAGATCTCTTGTTCTGTTTATTATGACTTGCAGCTTCCAAAGTTTCAATGTGCTTGCCTTGCATGAATGTGTCTGCTGTATATTCTCAAAGGATGTTTCAAACCTTATTTGATCTCGTGCATTTCAAAAACCTTACGAACACATTCCTTTGTAGTTTTAAATTTTTAAAATCCAAAAAAATCCTAAAAAGGGCCTTGTTTTCTATATGCTAAAAGTTCAGCTACAGTTCTGCAATCTAGCGTGCAAAGCAAATGGGAAGGGGCAGATATTTTTTTCTTCAGGGAACAATCTTTAATCTGCTACCCATATGTGCAATTGCATGAGTTGTGGTTCCTGTAATGGCCACCCAAACCATTTAACAGCTTAAAATAAAACCAGAAATACCACAAACTGATTAACAGCAAAGACCCCATCCTGTTTTTATAATGAAGATGATTGCTAAGGAAAGGTCTGTCTTGTGATTCATTGCAGGTATTCTAGAAATACGAACAGTCTCAGAGGGCGGCGTGCTGGCCATCAAAGGGGTGAAAAGTCAATATTATATAGCTATGAATAAGCAAGGAAGATTATATGGCAAGGTAAGGAATTTAAAGTGTTAAAACATGCCAACATCTAAGGGGCTCTATTCCTATTGAATACATTTCAATACATTGCCAGCTGTACTTAATTTTTAGCCACCAGGAAATGTATTTCAATATTTACAATCAATATTAAATTTACAATAAAACAAAACAATAAAAAAATCAGGTTCTTATGGTAATGCACTTTTGAAGGGATTTATAAAACAACAATACAACCTTACCAAAGTTTATGTATTATTCATACTGCCTGAATAAGATACATTTTTAACAAATTAATTAAACCATGTTCATACACTTTCAGAAACAGCAGAATTACAAAGTTTGAATTAAATTGTTTTCTTTTTAACTTACAGAAAACCTACAGTGAGGACTGCAACTTCAAGGAAGTCTTCCTAGAAAACTATTTCAATGCTTATTCCTCTGCAAAATGGACTAATAATGGCAAAGAAATGTTCATTTCTTTATCTCACAAAGGTGTCCCATTAAGAGGAAAAAGGACAAAGAAAGAACATGTCACATCTCATTTCATACCCATGAAATGCAAAGAAGAGAAGAGAGTGGATTAAAACTCTCACGATGCTTTATTCAGTTCAACTTTGTGAAGGGTCTTTTTTCAAAGCCAAGCCAAAGCTACTCCTCTATATCGAATTTCAATGTACATACATTATGACTCCTGTCATAGCCTAAGACAAGAGTCTCAGAATCACTTATTATAGGGCTTGGTGCCTTCTGGTTTTAGTTCGAACTTGAGTAATCGATTAAACAATTTACCAATTTTCTTAGTTACACATAAACAAACTATTTCTTAAGGTCTTATACAGCAAAGTACTCAAATATTCTCTTAATGCAATTACCTTTAAATTGCTCTAAAGCCTAGTATTACAATTATAGGTTTATTCTATGCTGAAAAGAGAAGAAAGGAACAACAATGTTTTGGCTGTGGAGCCTTCTTCGGGTGGCTTCGGATTCACAAACCTTTAATTGTTCCTTTACAGCCTACGCATGCTGATGCAGCTACCCACCTGTATTACAATTATACAGTTAATTTAATTAAGCCATCTAGGTAACCAAGAACCGAGAACAAAATCCAGAAGACATTGGGCTCTCCAGGAAGTGGGTTTTAGACCCCCTGGCCTAAGCACTCACACATTATACTAAAACAATAGTGGAAAGTAAACAAAAAATAAAGAAAAAAAGATTAATCCTTGTTAAAATTGATTATATGAAGACTCTCATGTGGCACTAGAACAGATTTCCGATTTGATCTTCATCCTCATAGGCCTACTCTTCAGGTTCACACGTATAAATAAGAAGGTGAGAAGCCTTCATACCAGCCTTTACCATGAGAACCCTGTAATGAACGTATTGGAGGTTTGATGTGATCCTCACAAAATGTAATAGATGAAAATAGTAGCTATAAGTATACAATCAAACGTAGGTTACAATGTAACATGCCACTTCAAAATATTCTTTTAATTTTTTTGTTTTTGTATGAAACACTTGTAAATACAAGATACAGAATAACATAAATACATTTTCTATTTTATTACAATATTTACATTTTTATAAATACTATAGAAGAATGATGTGAAGTTTCTTCAATGTTATGATCTTACTACAGACAAGAGTGTTTGACACTGAAAGTTGTGAGTTTGAATGGCACTGATCAATTTTATTTTTATTCTTATGTGATTGTTTAATTAAAACTAAAAGAGATATTATATCTGACAAAACTCACAAGATGTGAAAATTGTGAAAGTTCAAAATTTAAAATAGACAGGATCAGCCAACCCCTACGAGCTAAAAACTGTAAAGATATTCTAACTTCATCAGTTAGAGGCACTACTCTCTAATTTGATCGAGATCATAAGGGTTTTGTATCCAACAGAATGTGTTCCAGCATAAAAATAAAAAATAATAAAAAACCGCAAAATGCAATAATGACTTTTTACTGGGTTAAAAAGCTGGAATTACTACTGAAAATTAAACAAGCTGGACTTGATTTTTATTATAATTTGTTCCTTTCTTAAAAATTAACTTATAAAACATAACAAAGGACAAATCATCATAATGCCTTCATAAAATTTTGGACTTAATAAAAATCAGATAATGTTTTTACCATACAAATGGACTATCAGATTTTCCAAAAGTATGCCAAATAACTTCTTCTATTTAATATTGCATGTATTATTTGCTCTTCTGTCCACTTTTGATATAACATGTAATAGGCTACTGCCTTGAATAATTATTTACATGGCTGCTAAATCAATTCAAACTATGATATATAAATGTTAATTTTAAGTATGCAATGGTTTGAAGCTGCTGAAACGAATAATATCAATATTTAATTGCAAAGTAAACACTGTTATAAATAGCTAGAGTAATTTAAGCTGTAGATGATAATTACATTTTCCTAAATAAATCTGTCTTCCACAAACGTATCTGTGGCAGAGCATTTGTCTATTTTGAAATGAGTCACCTGATTCTTCTGAACTTAGCCTCTAACATTCTACTTTCAATTTTTAGTGATATTTTAACAAGACTTTGTTTATCATATTCACTGCAGTCTCTGTAAAGTAACTCCTTTGAACATGTATGTGAAGGACAGAACCTTAAGGATGTAGGTCATCTCATTATAAGCAACAGCAGGCTTTCTTTGTGCATTATAAATAAATAGAACTCATGTTTTAATATATATCCTGCTTAGAACTCTAATCTGTTCTTTAAAACATGCATAGAATATATTGCAACATTACAATTTTATTCAAGGTTGTGTTTATACTTCAATGATGTATGTTATTTAAGTTATTTATATAAAATCCATGTCAAGTTATGCCTGTCTAATGTGTGTTTCATTTAATGAATTCCTGGTCATCTGCTGCTGTTTATGAGAAGGCGCTCTGGCACCTCTTGCTGCCAAGAGAAAAGACAGGAAGTCGACCACACACGACAACCCACTTCCTTCCTCTGAAGACCAAAAAAGGGACAAAATAACACGTAATCATTGTGCGGCAACTCTGCCAAATACAGAAAGCAGAACTTCAGGAAAAAGGGCAAAGATTGCTCAAATGTCGCTAAACATATTGTCACTGTCAGAGGTCAAGCAACACTGAATATGTGTAAAATACAAAAAAGGCTTTGAATTTGATTTCCCGTGCAAACACAAACTAACAGGGAAAATCAGAATTCATAATGACATCCATCCATTAATATTCTAACCTCATCATCCAACTCAGGGTCACAAGGAGGCAGAGCTTATCAAAGCAAGTAATGGGCGCAGGGTACACTCTGGATAAGTCACCAATCCACTGCAGGGCACAGACACAGATAAGCACAAGAAATCCAGAAGCCAATTAACCTTCCAGCATGTCTTTGGCCTGTGGGAGGAAACCAGAGCACCCGGGGGAAACCCACACAAAAATTAATTCATGATTAAGACATTTTTTCTTAAACTGTCCATTCTGTACTTCTTGCAATGTAAGAATATCAGAATGTAAATTTGGAAAATATGGAGACCATTCATCCCATCTAGCTCATGTGTTTTTTTAGTAGCTATTTAATCCAAAGATCTCACCTAGTCATTTCTAGAAAACAGCCAGGGTACCAGCTTCAGCAATTTGGCATGGTGGTTTGTCCTAAAGTCCCACAACTCTTTGTGTAAAGAAGTACCTGCAGTATGTTCTCAGAGCAGTCTTAAAAGAATTCTCAGTCTTACATGCACTTCTCCCAGTTGCAATTTATGTCATCTGGTTTATGTTTCACTGTTAAATCCATAAGATTACCTTAAACCTAAACTTACAACCTTTTGGTATCTTAGGTACTGTATAGCAATAATTCCCTTTAGTCTATTAATACTTACTAGTCAACACATACTGTAATTAATTGCTTCTTAACACCATAACACAAAAAAATTATCACAACTGTAAAACTGTGCCTGGGCTATGTCCTGAGATAGTGGTGCTTCTCCAGTGGAACTAACAGAATAGTCATTGAGGGTGGATTTTTGTCTCTGACCTAGAAATATTTTTAAAATTACTCCTCAAAACACAAGTAAAAAAAAGTGTTTCCTTTTTTGTTTCCAGTATAGCAGACAGTGGTAAGAAAGTTCTTATTTTTGGAACTAGGACAGTAAGATCTCCAAGTTGTCTGCCTAATTGTCAGTATACTTATACACAGATAGTCTGAATTTTAGAGATCATCTTAATCTTAAAAAGATTTTTCTTTCTTTGCTGGTTTTGACGTAAAGATTTATGACAAGGGGCTACAATAATCAGAAAAACTATCATTTGATTGTAAATATTCTTTTTCTCCATTGCTGTTCCATCCATCAGTCTTTCCCTCAGAACATTTCTTGTTAAGCCTTTTCACTTTTTCAGATTAGAAAGGAAATACAGGCCTCTAGAAAGCTAAAGTACTTCAGATATACTTTCATCGTGGTAGACAAATCATACTATGGTATTTCTACAGACATAAATAAAATGTCTGCACAATTCAATGACACAATAATTTTAAGTTACAAAAGTTCATATTAGGTATTTTGAGCGAAATTTTATACCTGCCAAATACAAAAATACTGCAACAAAAATACTCGCAGACTGCCGCACGCATGGGCAAGTAGATAAAATGAGTTTTACCTTCTGTTGGGGTTCACATCTGGCTCAGAGAAAAATGACAGATAAAAAGATTACAACTGGGAGCACAAACCTCTGAATCAGTTAGACCTAAACAATGTCTGAAACAAGGTGAAAGCTTGTGCCAAGTCACGCAAGGTTAGTTTTAACTGATAATTCATAACATGTTCAAACCATACATCATTTTTACTTGAGATTTAATGACTTTTGGACATTTATTTCTTTGGGTTACAGAGGCTTTCATTTTCAGTGATATTTACAGTGGTCGCCTGGCATTCAGAAATACTCAGATCACATTGTGAGCTACAGTATGTGAATGGAAATATAAGCTTACAAATTGCTAATTAAACAATATCATAAAAGCACATGCAAGAACACACATGCATGTTGAGCTTTTGAAGTACATCAGTTTCATAATAAATTGCAACTTTAAATTGCAATTGTTGAAATCTGTTAGCTTATTGGCAAGATTTTTTTTTTATAATTTCATGCATTTTAGAAAATAAATGTATTACTTTCATTTGACTGCAAATGTAAAGCCAAAAAAGGATCTAAAATAAGACAAATAACTGTATAAAATGTGTTGTTGAGAAGCAAGAATAAAAATATTTATTTTCCGGGATATAAAAATAAAATTAGACAACCCTCTCATGAACCTTTGCTCTATTACATCTTGGAAGGGCCAGACCACAAGTAAGCTGTTAGATATTTTGTATTATTTTTATTAGTACCATAAACTATTGGCTGCCATACTCATCCTGTTGTTACCAGAAAACTCAATAAAATGGTTTTAAGTGTCTATCGCTACTTCAGCTAAGTACAGTAAGAGTGAGTAATATAATAGCATTTGCCACATGTGTTTTTGAGACATTTGGGATAAAATACTTTGGTAGAACAACTAAATCCCACATCTACAAAAAAGAATAACTTCCTACAGTTTACGAAAGGTTCGGTAAACCTGCATTGAGTATGCAAAACAAAATGGAAATGTAGGCATTGTAATCTCCTTTATTATGATTTTTATTTCTTTTCTAGGTAGGCAGTATTTGAAATCCTTTAACCCTTCTGATTAAGAATGTGGTAAAACCAAAAGAGCACTCAAATGTATACGACCTGCTCAATTTAATGTGTTTCAAAGCCATATGCTCACCTGCTGGCAGACTTACTTGTAGACTGGAAGGCCAAATTGACATAGATTCTGAGCTCTGCTTTATTATTGAGAACAGGGGGCACTTCTTTACACAAACGGTTGTGGGAGTCTGGATGAAGATACTGTACTCAATCATACTGTCATGAAAGGTGATACTAGTTTTCAAGAAATGGCATTCAAAAAGATCGGCCATATGCTCAACTCCCACTTCTAACTTTTTGTGATCAGCCAAACAGTCAACTCCCAGTTCTAAACATTTTGTATGTGTTTTTTTTGCCTAGGCTATTCCATAATATATTTTTTTTATTTTCTCTATCTTCCAAGATCTTTAAGCATCTTAGCAAAACAGAGTGTGTGATTTTGAGATTGACAATTTAAGCTTAGTAAGTGGTATTTTTGCACACTTAAAAAGCAGCTTTCTAAATTAAAGTGGAATGTAAAATTTGGCAGATTCATGTAACGTGGGCAGAAAGATTTTGAAAATGAAAACTGAGGGGAAAATGCTTTGAAAACTTTTGCCAAATTCTCAATAACTGACCCTTTGTGGGTACTCATATCTAACTTTCCTCAGATGTCTCATTAAACTATGTTGGGTTTGAAAGTGCTTAAATGTTGGGCTTTAGAAATATGCTATAAATGTGAAGATTTCATGAAAGATGTTAAATATAATGGTTATGGTTGCACCTCTCTCTTAACAAGACAAGCAGGTACAGTATACTGATAGTTAGAGATCAATAGACTGGAAGACATCTTTTCTGGAAAACAAGCAGATGCAACTTGTGACTGGCAGGTAATTTAAAGATCTATTTTATTCCAGAGTTGTCACAACTACAGTGTTATTACCTTCTCAGAAATCTCAGAAAATGAGCAAGAGTTGGCCTGGTAACTATTGGGATGGGGGACCTCTAAAGAAAGCCAAGTTGGACCAGTAGGTAGAGTTCTAGAACCTAAAAAACATGCTTCAGTATTGTAACCTACCCACAAGAAGACACAGACTATTTGGTCATTAATGATCTTTATGTACCATCTGTAAGACATCACCCTGATATCCTGGCTAAGATCAACTCTGGGAATGTACAATCTGGTTAACCTAAATTTCTCCCAGAACTGAGATGGTGAAGCAATTTCTTCACTGATGGGTCTGCTGCACTTCAATAGAAATTATTCTTTGGGATGACAAGAGCTATACAAATGCAACAAATTATTATTACAAGATTCAGGTAAGGATGACAATTTTATATATTTAAAAGAAATAATTAAACTTCACTGTCAATTAACATTCATTAGAAGCAATTGATATTATGATAAGTATTATGTATTTGCTTAGGAGACATCCTTCTTAATACAATAAGAGAATACATTTGGATTTCTAGAGGTAATAATATTTACTAATTGCACTACAGGTCATACTGTAATGAAATCCACAAAAACAAATTCAGCACCAAGCAATACTACACTGTTCACGTAATGATACTGTACACAAAGACAAAATTAAAAATGATCTTTCAATCTGATTACTTTCTTTGCACATTGTTTTTAATTATTTTCTGTAACCCACCTGCATTACAGAAAATACACAGTGCCCATGTTCTAACTTTTGATTGTGAGATAAAGTGAACCTTCCATTACAGATGCTTTTTGCATCCTTACTTGATTTCTAATCTAATGTCAAGAGAGTGGAATATGGAATTAATTGCACTATTCTAGTACCAGATGAGAAGCACTGAAGTGAGCTGAAAGCCAGAAGTGAAATTCCTAGACAAACATAGCTCAAAGAAATTGCGTGTGCACAGGTGTGAGTAACTGAACTTTTAAAAAACAAAAAAAACTGTAGATTTTCTGGTTTTAGACCATAGCCGATTTCAATTGTTGCACTTCAAAGAACTAGTCAAATAAATCCACAATCCAAAAGGAACCATGCTGGCTGTACACATGCCCAATACATTAACACACAGTGAACTACAATAAACCTGGGAATAAACTTTAAAAGGGAAATTTTTGTTGTTGTTTTCATTGACTTCAAGTTACTGCAGTAGGCAGCTTAAAAACCAGAAAAGTAGTTCATGAGAGCGACATCTGTTGTTTTCCTTGGCTGTGTAACAAGAACAAAACTTTGGTTATTCCATTCTGTAAACCATACCTGCTGAAAGGAATACATACTCATATTTGAAGTACAAACAATGAATATACATTTTGCCTTATTTTATCTCAATGGAAACATTAACTATGAGAGAAATGCTTGCTTCCATACTGAAATGTACAGTATGCATAAGTTTGCTCTGAAATCACGTCATTGTATCCTGCTGAATTCAGAACTCAGAGATGAAACTGGCAGGGATAAACATAAATAGAAATATTCCCAAACCACTGCCCAAGTAAATTGCCCAATACCAGACGTCAAAATAATTACAAAATCAACACATCTGGACTGCATTCTGATGGGTCACATAATTCTAAAATGATTGCATGTCATTCCTGACCACACACTGCAGAAATTCTCAAGGCTGTCACCCATATTTGCTGTTCAAGTTTTTATGTTATTGTCCTTGGGCACTCACATCTCCTGTCTTAATAAACAGTACTTTCCTGAATAAACCTGGGTGAAATCTCTTGTATCTTATTTTTGAAGAGAACCAGTCAGAAATCAAAATTTTGCCCTCACCGCCAACTGTGAACTCTAATCTTGAGAACTAAGAGGAGCCTTTGCTTTCCAGTGCTTTTCTGCTGTTGCCCCAATCAAACCTGCCATCCATTACTTGGTTTGTAACCTGTGATTTTCAATTTAACCATATTTAATTATAATTCAGATTTGAGTTTTTAAAGTCAGATTTCCATAAACAGTTCAAGTCACAGATATATGGGAAGTTATTAAGCAAACCTGCACACAGATTGTACAGGTGAAACCCAATTTCAGTGCTGCACTGTTCAGTGCAAGTTACTCAACTTTTCAGTTCATACAGAACTGTCTTTCTGAAAAATCAAAAGTATTATGGAATAAGATACTAGGATATAAAAGGCTACAAGGACCTTTATTATACATATATGTATACGAACATCACAAGCTATTAACAAAAATCATTAATCATGTTAAGTTAAATGATAAATGAGTATTTATTGAATTTTATTAAACATGAGAGATCATACAAGCATTAACTAAGACTTTTTTATTTGTTCTGTTCAGAGGTAGGGGTCATGGACTCTGTTACTAAAGACATGTGGTCAAGAACAGAAGAACTATAGCTTAAATTTGAAACTATTTTCTTTTTAATTATCCAGACATTTTCCTAAACAGGGTTTAGGCTTTCCTGGAAAGCAGTTCACGGGCTTATTCTGAGAACTGCAAAAATAAACCAAGCTCACAGAACAGGAGCAGATAAGCCCCTCTGAGCAATATATGAAGTGTTACTAGGGAAATGAAAACAAATTATATCACCCGCTGTAAAAGGAAATATTCCATATGAAAACATAAAAAAGTGTAAATGTAACAACATGGCATGCTTTACAACTATTATTTCTATATTGATCAGTAGTTTTACATCCCAATACATTAATATTAAAAATACAGTATTGATCTGCATTTTCATTTATTCTACAATACCTGATATTAATGTTAGTTTTTCATCAATATCAGTATTAAATAATGCTGCTTTCATCTCTGGTTGACCTCCAATGAAAAGTCAGAGGGCTGATGGTAGCTTATGAACACTGCTTTCAAAAAACTTAACACTGAACTGTTCAAATTATCTTTTTAGCAATACAGTAGCACCCCCACCTGTCTATAATGAATGATGCATGTGATATTAAATGCTCTGCAGGAATAAGCACTCAGGAAGGCCACTGGAGGCAGGTGGAAGGTGATTGCATTGTACTGGTTAGTTATTTCTAAAACTGATCTAAGTAATTTAATAGTAAGAGTGTTTTTATAAAGCATATTGATTTCAATAAAATTACATAATACTGTACATTCAATTACTTACCGCTTGTAACTGACAGGATCTTGGGTTCTTTGCCCACCTCTCCAGCTCCATTTAACACTTCACTCAACCCGTTTAGGTTCCATTTCTTCCATGAATATAGCACAGGTTTTACTCCTGGAAAAAATAAAAACAAAACAGGTACTGCTATAAGCATTCACAGTATGTACAATATGTGTAATGATTGCTATAATATAATGTCATCTGAATTAAAATAAACAGAAATAAACATTACCTGAAATCCAGTGAGATATCAGATCTGTTAGTTCAGTTTTAAAGTCTTCATCAAAATGACCATGAGACTCTGGGAATGCTCCATGAAATGCAGAATAAACTGCCTGGGCTAAGCAGTCTGCATACACCTTGAACATGTAAGAGAATATACATACTGTTATCACACAGAACCTGATATTTATTAAGACTAACACTAACAACATTTTTGCATTCAAATTACAATCAGAAACTTTAACGCTTAGTAGTCAAATAGCCAAACCTTACCTCCGAACTATCAAGCGAGTGACCTAACCTGGGACATGTCAGGTACCTGTTAGTTTGCAGTGATTTCAGTAAGAGCAGCATCCTTCCTCTCCTCGCTGCCAATTCTGCAATGGGAACCGAGGAACTGGCAGCTCAGTAAGAGCCAAATGGTAATAGTGACTGACACCAAGATCTGTGTGGTCTTTAGCCTTTGCCAATAGCATCTCTGCATACTCATCCTTTATATTCATTATGCATCTGTCCTTGTAAAGGAGACAGCAACCCAATGGCTATTCAAGCAGGACAGGGGGCACTGAGGACTGAGAGAACATGACTTCTAGAAAGCATGTGACACAGAAGAAGAACGAGAACGAGAACGAGAACAAGAAGCACCCCAGTCAAAACCAAACTTGTGAGTTATAAGACAGCAGCACTAACTGCATGCAACCATACTGCATCATGTATTAAGAACCATGCAATTAATTTACACACATAATGTAGAATAAATTAATAAATTAATGAACTCACATTAAAAAGGGAAAAAAACTATATCACTGCTATTTTGCTGCTTGGAGAGAGAGCAAAAACATTAAACAGCTTCAAACAGCTTCCAAAGCTGGAACTTTGAAAATACCTTAAACAATTTGTCTTTCACTTCTGGTTGCACTGTCATTAAGAGTACCACAAAGTTTTCAGAAATTCGATCAAAAAGCTTGTTTTCATCTTCTGGATTAGGCTTTCAAAGGAAAAAAGAATTGTGTTAGAGATGAGTCCACCTGTCAGAAAAGAAAGGCTGCATGCATTTTTTAAATAATTTAAATTAAACTAAACTTGAATATAGGAAACTATTAAATATTTAGCATGTTTAGGGGAATATTATTATTTTAAAAATAAATAATCAAATGAACAAGTAAAGGTTTATTCCAGGCTGAAAAGAGAAGACACCTAAAGAATGCTCCACAGCCTAAACGTTGTGTTACTTTTCTTCTCTTTTAAGCATGGAATAAACATTTGCAGCCTATGCATGCTGACACAGCTACCTGCTTGAATAATCAAATTATTTTACTTTATGAACTGACATGCCACAAATTAATCTAATATAGAACATGTAATAGGTTTATTCCATGCTGAAAAAAAGAAGAAAGAGAACACAACGTTTTGAAACGTTGTGTTCTCTTTCTTCTTTTTTTCAGCATGGAATAAACCTATTACTTGTTCCTTTGCAGCCTACGCATGCTGACGCAGCTACCCACCTGAACTAATATAGAACATTACATTTATGTCATTTATTTAAACAAATTAAGTCATGCTTTTACAGCATAGCCAGGCTGTTCTGTTGAAATTAAAATGTGGCTGCTCTTTTTTGAGCATTTTGAGATCTCAGTTTGGTACTCAACAACTAATTAATGGAATAATTGCTTGTGATGAAAATCTGCTAGAATTAAGAAGTACAGCACTTCAAAGATGTGAACTTGGAACATTTCACCAATGGGCTTGAAGGATCAGTGGTGTATCAGTTAATTCCCTGTTGTAGCAGATAGCCATGAGGTATGAAACATCTGTTCCCGGACTTCTTTTGTAAAATTCCAGGTATCTTTTCAAACAACTGTATCGTGAAAACTGTATTATGGAGCAGTGGCAAACAGCACATACACAATTGGAGCCACAAAGAACATATTTTAATGGACCACAACAACGACACTGAACAGGTTAATGAGTTGAACTTTGTGTTTCTCCATGAACGAAAGCCATTACAGCATTACAGATACACAGATAAAAATGAGCTGACATAGCGCCCTCTGGTGCATATTGTCTTTGTCAATGGACATACAGTATGTTCCCTGTGGCTCCATTTCAATACGTACAGTTAATTTCATTACTGGATAGTGAACAGTTTACATAATGAAGTAGTTTTAATATGCAGTCTAACTTGCAAACAGCTTATAAGTTATTGTATATGATTAATCATTTACATAAAAGATGAAACAGAGCATTTAACAAAATATATAAAATTGAGATCACACAAAATGCTGACAAACTGATCTGCCCCATTACGAGTACAGCAAAAGAGAATGTAAAAATTTCAACAGCATTTCTAACATGCAGCAAGACTTCAAGGCAGAAAACTAAATGAATCAAGTATACTCTGTCTTACCTTAAATGCATGAACATAAAACCACCAAAAGGTATCCTTCAGTACAGCAACAGATGAGTCAGTGAGAAAGAATGGCTTCCAAACCTTTAGAAAGCCAGACTAGAGGGGAAAAGAATGCATCTGTGAGGATTATTCTAATGGTGTAAATAAAAATTTTGACTTGAGTCATAAAATCTCCAGATAATTAAAACACACTTATCAATTCTGAATTCAACCATAATTGGATTTGGTTGAACAAATGCAGCCTTCTATAATTAAATTGGCTTATTTGGATTATTGGCTCCTGCATTATCCTCTGGGTAAGAGAAAGTAATATTGTTTATCATTTTGGTCACCATGTCACAAAAAAAGATATTGCTGGTCAGGAATCAGTCCAGAAAAAAGCAGCCAAATACATTCCTGGGGCTTAAAGGGGTGTCCTTCTCTGACAGGCTAAATATAAAAAGTATGCAAGCACGAAAAGGCCATTTGGCCCATTAAGCTTATTTGGTCAAACATCATTGCTTTCCCAGGAGCAGAGCCAGGCCGGCAGGGTGAAAACCAGGAATCCTAATTACCAGACCATATGGGAAGTCTTAGAAGAACTACATTTGTTTAGTCTTGAACACAGAAAAGTATAAGGGGATCTGATTCAGGTATTCACAATTCTCAGAGGCAATAACAAAGTCTTCCCAGTGGATGTCTTCAGAATCAACAGTGAAATATGAAACAGAGGACACAAATGGAAACTAAGGGGAATGGCTGAGAGCGTGAGGAAACATGCTACCCAGTCAAGCTGCTGAAGGTGCTATTCAGGATGCTTTCTTGAAATGGCTGGGTGAGATCCTCAGATCAATTAACTATTGTACTAGTAACAAAACAAGCTAGAAGGGTCCAAATGGTATGTAATAAATATAAATATTTGTTTCAGAATGTTTTAGATGAAATTCAACCTCTGAATTCAATGTGTAGTTTCAGCTTTTTACTCTGAAAGTGTACAGTAATGGTACACAGTAACAATAATAGACCAAGGTGATATTTTTTTACAATAACTCAACATAATTGCTCTTTTGTACTAGTATTTTATGTTCCCTGGTTTTAACCACCACCTTTAAGACAACAAATAAAATGACAACTAACAGAAAACTGCATCGGGCAATTGGTTCAAGTATACTGTAATTATGATCTCTAAAAAGAAAGATGCAAATAAAAAAAGTCTTATTTTGGAAATGTAATTTATCATATTTTCCTAAGTCATCTTTTCTAATATTATTACAATTCTGAGCATGCTGTACTGACCGTCAAATGAGTATTATCAATTTGCTGTCTATATCCTCCTAAACCTTAAGAGAAAACCTGTGCTTCAATAATTTTGACTAAAACACTACACAGAGTGGATTCTGTGTTTATTTAGACTGAATTGGATTTAAATGTAATGCACTGTATATTCTACTACACAACAAAAATCAAGAGACATCTTACACATGTATTTTAGGAATGCAGGTCTGCGTGCTGTGATTAGACACATGCACTACACATGTGCTTGACGTGCAAGTCTATATGCGTTCCTGTTTCTTTACATTTGTATAGTGGCTTCAGTATCACTGGAACCTTTACCATAATGTGGGTCAAAAGAATGGAAAAACCTGGTTTGCATCATTTAGGCAACATCTGGCTTAACAAAGATGACTGGATATTAATATTCTCCACAACAAATAAACCTTACACTCATTCAGTACTGAGCAATTCCAGAAGATGAAAGTATAATGTGTGTGTAAGTAGTGCGTATGTGATTGTTCATCTGAAAAATCAGATTTCTGGCATCCGCTGTTCTGGAATTAGATAATAGTTCAGGAATCTGTAGGGCTATCCCTCTATCAAGTTTCACCAACACCACATTCTTCATGAGATTAATTTTACAAAACTCTCTGTAATAGAAAACAGGACCATCACAACTGCTTTTCTCCCAAGTGGGCTTTCCTAAGGAACTTTTATAATAACAGTGCAGTTTCTCATTGCAGCAGCACAAAAGCCAAAGAAAACACTGAAGTCCAACATTTAAGGGGAAATAAAATATTTTAACTTAATTTAAAACTTGAATTTCTAATTTACAGTAAATGATGGAACACATCTTTTATTTACCAGCGGCTTAAAATTTTTTATTAAGTAACATGCTCTTCTCACTTCGATGAATATCTGACTGCATTGACTTCCATTACATTAATGAAACGGAGTTGCTAAAATGAGTAAAGAATTGTCCCTCAGAGCTTCCAAAGAACAAAACCTACAGTACAGAAATATGTGCTGGGTGTGAAGGAGCAAATCAGAGGGTTTAATGTTCTCGGACCAAAATTCCTGAAATGTATCACAGCTGTAAGATTTTTATGTAGGACTTCTAGAATGAATGCAATTCATTCGATGCATTCATGACAGCCCTTAGAAATGTGTAGTCATTTCATATGCAAAAAGGTTTTGCAGAAGAGGCTCAGTAAATGTCTAGGGGACAGAAATCAAAAAGTTAAAATAATAATAATATGCAGATGGTAATAATAAAATAATTGTATATAAGACAGAGTTTGTATAAATTTGATTCTTAATGGCAGATTGTTATCATTTTAATTAAGTATGTTAATAGAGCCAGTACTTTGTTTAGTTTTCAAAATCCCACTAACTTTGACTAGGATGTTTAATCATGACATGATCAGGCAGCCTTTCAAGTTGATCTGGCTAAATAGTTACCATATATCTTGTCTTTATTTTGTCATATTTTTAGTTTACTTTTGCATGCATTGTGTCTTTTACATCAGATCGGAGCAATTAAAAAAAAACTGCCAGGAATTGCAGTAATGGTAATTTATTCTTACAAGGTGATTTTGACAGAAACTGGTTTTGAAGTAGTCATAAAATAAAGCACCTCAAACATAAATAAACTAGTGCCATTTGACTGCTGTCTACAAAACAAGAATTCAACATTTTCCAAAACTGCAACTGCAGCCAAAAACTGTGAATTCTATTGTCACGATATAGCAAATCTGCTTAAAACTGAAGGATAATGTGCTGGCAAAACAATTGATTCACATTTAGCAACACAAAGATGATTATCTTCAATTCCCAATTTGAAAGGTTTGTTCTCAGTGCATTATGTCTTCCCAATGGCTGTTTAAGAGGCTGTGATAGCATTTATATAGAGAGATTAAGACTGTAAAGGGGAAATGAGGGAGAATCAGTGAACCAGCTTAGTGGCAGTTGCAAAAAAAAGAGACAAAAGCCAATTAAGTGAGGAAGTAAAAAACACAACGACCTTAACAGGAAATAATCAAAGTTTAGTTATGTGTGCTGCAACAGATTCAAATCACAATACATGCATTCCCTCTTGCAATTAAAATAAAACTTTGTTTCACACTCTGAGAAAAAACCCCAACTAATTCTTTGTTACAGTACATGCAATTAATACCAACCACTACACACAAACATGACCACAACTTTTATCTGTAGTCAGTTTTCAATGATCTTTTGAACTGAAGTGTTTAAATCTTTTAAAGCCTCTGAAAAAGTTAAATCACTGTAAGTCACTGAACATACTATTTTTTACTTGTACTTACATTAAAATTCTGAGCCTCTGAAATGTAGTCCATCAGTAGCAGAACATCGAGTTGTCCAGGTAGGTCATTATATTTATTCTGAGTAAATCCTGGGTATTTACAGTCCTGTAAAATCATTAAAAAGATAAAACAGTGTTAAAGTTAAAAGTTACTGGCATTTATATGATCCTTTTGCAAAATATATGACAGACCTAAGCACGTTTTGTGCAAATAAATGATTCCAAGTAGTATGAAATTTAAATGATGCTTTAAGGAGTACTTTAAAAAATATGAAAGAGAGGAGAGTACAGTATGTACATCACATAGTGTTAGGAGAAGTTTCTATATTGATTGTTAATTATTCAGAAATCTTAATGGTGGCATTAGGTTTATTATGATTTCCATAATGTAGCCATCTGTTCCCTAGCTGCATAAAATTTAACCCACACCCGGTATTACTATTCATTATGAGAAGGAAAAATGAGGAGCAAGTGAATTAATGAACCCTAATATTGTATGTCAATAAAGATGAACGACTGGAAATGCTTCATTTGAAAGGGACTCTAGTGGAAGTTCTCAAACAGATATGTACGATTTTTGAGAATGCTACTCAGCTGACTATACAATAACTAATAACCAGACACAAGTGCATATCAATGCATTGGTTTTTCCTGTTTTATTTAAAAAACAAGGTTGTATATACTGTACAGTATGAAGGGCACACAGTGGCTGAATGGTTAGCATTGCTGCCTTGTAGCACCGGGACCCTGGGTTTAATTCTGTACCCGGGGTGCTATCTGTTTGGAGATTGCATGTTTCCCATGTTTGCATAAGTTTCCTCTGGGTGCTCCTGTTTCCTCCCAGAGTCCAAAAACCTACTGGTAGGTTAATTGGCTTCTGGGAAAACTGGCACTGGTGTGAGTGTGTGTGTGTCTATGATGGGCTTGCATCCTGTCAAGGGTTTATCCAGTATAATGGCTGATGCTTGCCATGAAAGACTCCTTAATTGCATGAAGTGGTTAGAAAACGGATGAATGGTTGCACATACTGTATGTGTTCACACATTTGTTTTGCATTTGTGCTGTACCTTTGTACCTTAATATTCATGATCCTTGGTGAGACTCCAGCACTCTGAAAATAAAACAAAGTAAATACCATTGCAGAGGCACAGGATCAAATACTTCAACAGAATTTACTTTCTAGAGCATAAAATATTACTGTTTTACCTTTCTTCTGAGTTTTTGGCGGGCTTTTTTCAGCAGCCCTAAAACTGAAATAAAAAAAAATCAAAATCAAAAGAAACAGCACCCCAAGTTCCATCAATATATATATATTTGTGGCCAACAGGGTTAATGTTGACTTCTGATAATAAACCAACATTTTTTCTTGTTTCCATTTCTATATTATTAAACATTATGTACTTTTCAATTATTAGCAACTTTACACCGTGTTAAGAATCAGTTTAATATTCCTGTTTTCCCCAGTAATTGATGTTACAGAATAGATACAATTATCAAAAAAAATTGAATTTTAAACTAGTGCATGCTTACTTTGAGGTGATATATCTGAAGGCTGTACATCAGTCTTCTCTGTTGGTGTTTCACTGTACAGCATTTTAGATGCATGGGTTTCAAGCAGACAGGACAATTCCTCAACCCTTTGTTCCAGCTCAGTAATAATACCCTTATGAAAAGGAGCTTCTTTTTGGAGACATTCGGCTATTTCATTTGCTGAATGGTAGCCACTTAACTGTTCTGTAAGATTAAACTTTTCTTCCAGCATTATGGGCCAATCAACCTGAAACACATTATTAAACATTTAATGTTACATTTTCAACCTCTTAAAACTCGCATTGTGGTAACGATGATGAAATGCAGATATTTCTAGTTTAATAGTCTATGTTACATTATGAAAATATATTTTCAATTAAAAATGGCAATATTTGGCAAAATAGTAACGTTATTTTTCGTCCATTTACGGCATTCTTGAAAAACGTAAATTGTTGAACTGGCAATTCTTACCAGCTGTTGAAATCGTATAAAGTCTTGAAAATTTCTAGCGGGTTCCTCCATTGATACCATAGTATTTCTATGAAAGAAAAATAGATTATTATATTAGAATTAATTCTAAAAAAGTTAACATATACATAACTGTTTCTCAACGCATAGTGATATGATTTACCTAAAAATAAGATGATAAATAATGTTTTGGGGTAAAAAAAAAGATAAATAAGCAGAACTAAGTTTCAAAATATTGAATTTAATATAAAATTGTAATTCTAATTTCAACTACGTCCATTCGTTTAAAAAACAAGTACGTTCACAACCTTGCCATGTCTCGCTTCGGCATAAATTGCTATTGCTAAGCAACTATCAACAAAGTCTCTCTTCTTCCGGTTTAAAGTGCCAACGCCGAAATTGGATACAGGGAAACATTTCCGGTGTCTGATTATTATTATTTTTTTATCACAAAGCATAAGTGTTGTTTTATCGTTATCGTTTTTAATTAATGGGTAGGGTTTCTCTTTACGGTCCTTTAGTTATCATTAGGAAACAAACTAATACAATACACGTGACCTCCGGGTACCGATGTAGTTTAATTTTAAATTCGTGAATTAGGTCAAAGATGACTGCACTGCTTCTCGTAGTTTCAAAAACGGAGTTATTTAATTGTGAACTTTGAGCACACCCTTAAAGAGAACATAGGAGAGTTTTCGCTGAGAAACGTGTGTTTCAGGTTTAATACCAACTCTAAAATAGTACAGTCGTTTTTACAGGAGGTATATGAGATATTTCGTGCGTTACACACAGAAAGTCCGTCTGTGGATGCACATTTAGTATTCCCTATGTGGTGCTGCATATTTTAGGAAAAGGTAGTAGTGAACGGGTACTGATCTGAAGTGTTCAAACCAACACATTATGCGAGATGTAATATTGGTTTCTCTAACTTCTTTTAACTGTTTTCAACAGCTACAGCGGAATATTTAGAATTTCACAAAATGTCCGCACATTCTGCGGCTGACTGGCCGAAACCAGAACATACGTTTGTGTGTCCAGGGAAACCGATTTCGGACTCTCCAGACAACCCGAGGTCGCCGAGAGCCCCGAGTGGCGCAGCCGGGGAAGAGCCGGGGACAGAACCTTTCGGGGATTTGAAACGGGCACCTCACGACGTCCTGGAGAGAGCGCAGCGGGCCGGGAGGCTGAAATGTTGCAAATGCAGGGGGTCAAGGATGTTCTACTGTTACACATGCTTCTCTTTAGTAGGTGTAAACCCGGAGGAAATACCCCAGATCAAGGTTAGCATGAACAGATTTTGACGCAGGTCAAAGGTGCATGCAGAGCCTTATTAAAGAATACGACAGGGTACAGTATATACTGTATTTTACAGTAACAGACCTAAGAGTAGTCATCCTCACTTGCCTACGTTAGCTGAAACACCATTTAGGGCATAACTTTTGGTTCATATTGTGATTTCCTATAATTTCCTCTGTGGGCTAGAAGGATAAAGCCTTCACTCAAATAGATGTGAAATGCTTTTGAATGTATTGCAGATCTTTGACTGTGGTTCCACTGAGTCGTTAAGTTTCAATTAAGGGCACTGGCTGTTAGCCATGGTTCCCTTTGTCTTGGAGGAAATCTGAATTGAATTAAATTCCAATTTATTTGTGGAACCCCAGCACAAATCTTGGACAAAATTAGGAAAAGCGTTGTTGTTTTTTTTATTTGAATAACTCCGGCAGAATCTGACAGTTACCACAAGCTTTTTTGAAATCCTATAATTTATAATTACGTATTGCAAATGCCATTTAACAGTTTTGCACGAAGAGCGCAAGTAGCTAGTGTTGTTCTGTGTTGCCTTGTCGAGGTTATTTGCCAGCTGACTGACAGGAGGCGGTCAGGGAAATGGATTGTTATCCATTTTAACTAAAGCACAATGAAGAATGATTTACAGATCTCACAAAAAGAGGAGCATTTGTAAGGCTTTTTTTTCTTTTTTTTCCAGAAAAGTGCAGTCATACTGTATTTCAGGATTGCTGAACCCGTGTAGAAATGTTGTTTTTTCTTCAGCTTCCTTTGAAGGTCGACATAATCAAGCACCCCAATGAAACCGATGGCAAAAGTACAGCTGTGCACGCCAAGCTTCTAGCACCAGATGATGTCACCGTTTATACCTACCCTTGCATTCCCGAGTATGAAGACAACAAGCATCAGGTTAGTAGCTTTATTTTAATTGTATTGATTTGTAGTCCTACGTACTGTATGTACAGTTAATAGGAATTGTTTTCAGGAGCATTCTCCATCCATCCATTTTCTAACCACTTCCTCCAATTCAGGAACACAGGGGAGCCAGAGCCTATCCTGTCAACCAGTGGACGCAAGGCAGGATACACGCTGATCGGGGTGCCAGTTGCCAGTCCCCAGTCCCATTGCAGGGCACACAAAGACACAGACACGCATACACTCACGCCAGGGCCATGTTTCCCAGAAATCAGTTAGCGTACCAGTATGTTGTTGGACTCTGGGAGGAAACCAGAGCACGTGGAGGAAACCCATGCGAACACCAGGAGAACATAGAAACTCCACACAGATAGAACCCCGGGTCCATAATTGAACCCAGGGTCCCAGCACTGCCAGGCAGCAATGCTAACCACTGAGCCAAGCACTTGTCATGTCATGTCATTTGCCAAGCCGCTTCATACCTTACGGTGTCGCGGGAAGCCGGAGCCTACCCGGCAAGCAACGAGTACAAGGCAGGGTACACCCTGGGCGGGGCACCAGTCCATCACAGGGCCAGTGCAAGCCAATCAGACATGGGGACGATTTTGAGGCCATGGTAAAGGCCGAGGGGGGAAATTTTGGCCCAGAAGCCGGGATAACTCCCTACTCTTCTCGAGAATTACCCTGGGATCTTTAATGACCACTGAGAGTCAGGACCTCGGTTTAACATCTCATCCAAAAGATGGCGCCCACTACGGTATAGTGTCCCCATCCACTATACTGGGGTATTAGGACCGACACAGACTGCTGGGTGGGCACCCTCCACTGGGTCCCACTAACACCACTTCCAGCAGCAACTATAGCTTCCCAGGAGATCTCCCATCCAGGTATTGACTAGGCTCAATGCTGCTTAGATTCAGTGGGTAGCCCAGTTGAGAGCTGCAGGGTGACATGGCTGCTTATAATTCTGAATTTAATAATTGCATTTATTTAGCTCTTTGCATCCCAAAGGTCCCCAAAGTGTTTTACATATGAGAGAGATTTCTACCAGCACTGAAGTGCGGCCCTACCTGGGCGATGTAGAGCAGCCATGATGCATCGTCAATCCCTACTGCACAGCAGATCAGGCAGAGGTGTGAAAAGTTGTTTAAGGTGGAACAGCAGAGAGGCAGGGTGGAATTTATCCAGGACTCTGGGGTTCACACTCCTACATAACATCTTTAATGACATTTCATCAAAGATAACTTCTAAATCACCTTATAGTGGTTCACAAAGCAGCAGTGAAGAGACAGAAACTGCAGAGTCCTTTACTGTTCTATACTTAAAAAACTGAATGACTTTGTTCTTGCAGGTTGCCTTAGTTTTCCCAGGCCCAGGATCTGTAACGATTGAAGAAATGATGGGCCAGCTTTCCAAACTGGTGGTTAAGAAATCTCGGTATCCTCTGGAACACAACCGCTCCTCGGAACAGCCCCCACAGAAGCGACTGAAGGGTGAAGGAAATTCGGAAGACGGAGAGTCTTCTGCGAGCACACCCACAGAGCCGGAGGAAACTAGCACCTTGAAAAGAGTGGTGTTTATTGACAGCACCTGGAATCAGACTAATAAAATAATCACAGATGAACGGCTTCAAGGTAATTAAGTTTCTTCTTTAGGCTCTTTAGTGCATGGGACAGACCTCCAGCAGCTGCTGGAAATTTGCCATTGAAAGGTCACATTTCTATTTTTTTTTCCTGGGCCTTAATTGGTATTTTAAAACCCACTATTGGTTGTCTTATTTTTTATATGCATCATATACTGTATATAGTTCAGGTGGGTAGCTGCGTCAGCATGTGTAGGCTGCAAAGGAACAAGTGATAGGTTTATTCCATGCTAAAAAAAAGAAAAGAGAAAACACAATGTTTTGGCCGTGGAGCCTTCATCTCCTGATGGGAAAAAAAGAAAAGAGAAAACACAACGTTTCGGCCGTGGAGCCTTCATCAGGATATGAGGTTTATTCCATGCTTTTTTAAGCATGGAATAAACCTATTACTTGTTCATATACTGTATATAATTGTAAATGTTTGTAAGTGTAAAGGAAGTAATATATCTAATTTGTGGCATTTTTTGTAAATGCAAATAGAGCAGAAATAGACTTCAATTTTTGTCCTGTTCAGCTTTGCTTCAGGTTGAACTGAAAACGAGGAAGACCTGTTTTTGGCGTCACCAGAAGGGAACTCCAGACACTTATCTCTCTACGATAGAAGCCATATACTACTTCATGAAAGACTATCATGTTCGGTGTTTATCACAGCAGTACCAGGGGCAGTACGACAATCTTCTTTTCTTCTTCTCATTCTTGTACAAACTGATCAGCAAAGCCAAACACAGTTCTGGGAAGCTGTGATCTAGGAGCTCGAATGGCATCAAGCTGTCCCTCACACGAGTAAATTGCGAGAGCTATACACTGACATATGGTATTTCATATCCTTATTGCTTTTATTTTAAATTAAAACTGATACATTGCATTGTATATAGTGTTTTTTATTCAAGAGGACCAACTTCTTTCATCCCCTATTTGGATGATGTGCAACAGAAATTATGGACCTGTGTGTTTTACTACACCGTAGATCAGGTATGGAGTTAACTGGATTAAGGAAATCGTG